CAGGCCGTCGACTGGAGCGACTGTACAAAAAGACTGGATTCACTGTACACAGCCAAATGTCTTCGGACCACCTTCACCACTACAAGAACGCCCTCACCACTGCCAAATATTCATACTACTCCAACCTCATCAACACCAGTACAGGTCACAACAGTGTCCTCTTCTCAAAAGTCAGCCACCTACTTCAGCCTCCTAAAACCCTCCCTCCAGACATTTCCACTACTTTCCTGGACTTCTTCAGCTCCAAAATCAACACCATTCACCAACAACTGGCCTCATCTTGCACCTCCTCAAATGACCCACCCTGGATGATCACCACTGGCCAAACTCTCATCAGCTCCCTCACCGAATTCACCCCGGCAACAGAACACATAGGTTTGGGATCCGGATCCGGTTCTTTTTTGGAACCAGGTCCAAAGTTCCAGTTCTGGAACCAGTTCCACCACATTTGGCATAACAGTTCCTGCAAACGATTCCTAGATTGTAAAAAAAACAACAACAACGTCACATGCATTTCCATTAGAGTGCGGCATGGCCACATATTTCTGTCCCGACCGAGCCCAACATGATCTAATCACTAAAGCACTGAGTTTGTGTCACACAGTTGTCATGGTTACAGGCTATTTAACAGGCCGGGTGTGCGCCGGGTGCTCAGCGGAGAGGGAGACCTCCGTGTCTGAGACGGGAGCGGGCGGTGGGAGGTCCAACGCTTCCAGCGAGGGGAGTGGTAGAAATATAACATAATAAGATAAAATAGGAGACACCTGTCTCCCTCTTTTATTTAATTTTCAGCGTTTAATCAAGGCGGAGGCTGGCGGCGGGAGGTCTGCTTCCAGCAAGGGGAGCGGTAGAAACAAACAGCCAATGTCTGTGTGTGTTCTGTTCAGGTGTTGTCACGTAAATAACAGTGCCCAAGCATGAATGCATATAAGTATTTTTTATTACATTGTTGTGGTTAATTTGAGGTAATAGTGTTACTGTAGAAATCAGAGAATCACTTCTTGTTGTTAGAATAAAGTTTTTGTATTTGTATGATTGCATTTGTGTTTATTAGGGATGCACCGAATATTCGGTAACCGAATATATTCGTCCGAATATTGCAGAAAAAACACACATTCGGTATTCAGTGGAATAAGTTAAAAGCAAGGCCAAATAATAGCGGCGTGTTTTGATAACGCAATCAAACGGTGTGCCGTGACGGGCGGAATAAAATGTCGGCAGTGTGGCGATCCGTCCATCACGGCACTCGCATTTGCAACTAAAAATAGTTTTGAATGCGCAAAATAGGCTTAAATCATTCAGCACGCTGTGCGAGCAGCCTACAGATTTCAACCAGCAGCAGAAACGAAAGGCGAATCTCATCGGTTGTGGGTTGAACAGGGGTCACAGACACAGACAGTAATGTATTCCTGTCAAATACGGCGGCCATCGGCTTACCCAGCGACAGAGAAGTCGGCTCCAATAATATCCTCTTCTTGGTGTCATGACTGCCCAGAAGTACCTGAACAGCCGAGCCAGCCGAACACAGGTATGTGATGTGTCAGAGGAGAAACAAGCCTTTCACATTTCTGTCTTTGTGTCAGTAACGGCCCACAAACCTCACCGCACTTTAGGGACTGTTCATTACTTATGAAGGGACTGTCAGGGGAGGAGGGTGGCTGGTTGATTTTTATTTTATTTATTTATTTTACTTTGATTCCCCCCTATGTTAATCACTTATTGATGCTGTTTTTGAAGTATGAATAAGTCAATAAGTAATTTATTCCACTGAAATATCATTGATGTATTATAGAAAAGTGATTTATCTTTTCATAAATGACAAAAGGCACATCTGCCTCATTTTCACTGTGGTATCATGATACTACTCAGAACCATGATATTTTCATTGGTATCGTACAGTGGGTCCCAATTTTGGTACCGTGACAACACTAATCTGGAGGGGGTTCATCTGCAAAAACTAATGAAAAACTAAACAATGATATTCGGTATTCGGTACTCGGTATTCGGCCAAGCGTTTAATAATATTCGGCTTCGGCCACAAATTTTCATTTCGGTGCATCCCTAGTGTTTATTATATACTTTATTTTATACTAAGTATAGCAAGTATAATGAATATAATGTAGGAATCGGTAAGGAATCGCACCGTTAAGAAGGAATCGGTAAAGAATCGGAATCGTTAAAATCCTAACGAGTCCCAACCCTAAGAACACACCATCTCTGAACTCATCCGTAAAGCCAAAACCACCACCTGTCAGCTTGTTCCTCTTTCCACCTCCCTCGTCAAAGCCTGTCTGCCATCCATTTCCCCCATGATCACCAACATAATTAACTCCTCCCTCACCACTGGTATTGTACCCCCCACTCTCAAACTGGCTGCCATCACACCCATCCTGAAAAAACCCGGTGCTGGCCCAGCTGACCTTAACTTCTACCGGCCCATCTCCAACCTTCCCTTCATCTCCAAAACACTTGAAAGTCCCACATCGACACAAACAACCTCCACGAACCCTTCCAATTACTCACTACTCACCATTCTCATCCTCCTGGACCTCAGCGCAGCATTCGACACCATCTCCCACCCACTACTCCTGGACCGCCTGGCTGGCATTGGGATCACTGGTGTTGCACTCTCTTGGTTCACATCACACCTCACCGACCATCAACAATTTGTTCAATTAAGGAACCACAAGTCTGGGTGTTCGGATGTTTCACTGGGTGTGCCCCAGGGGTCAGTCTTGGGTCCACTTCTCTTCATCATCTACCTCCTCCCCCTGGGCACAATCCTCCGTCACCATGGGGTCCATTTTCACTGCTACGCCGACGACACGCAGGTCTACATCTCCTCCAAACCCACCACTGCCATTCCCTCACCACCTGTCTTGAAGACATCCGTAGCTGGATGAGCAGGAACTTCCTGAAGCTGAACGGCAAAAAAACAGAGGCCCTGCTCATCGGCTCCAAATCCACCCTCACCAAGTCACAACACACCCCAGCTCCACCCATAATCATCGACAGATTCCCTGTACCCTTCTCCTCCCAAGTCAAGAGCCTCAGCGTCATTCTGGACAGCACCCTCTCATTTGCACCTCATATTCAAAACATCACCCGGACTGCATTCTTCCACCTCCGCAACATCTCCAGACTCCGCCCATCTCTGTCCCAGTCCAGCACTGAAATCCTGGTTCACTCATTTGTCATATCCCGCATCGACTACTGCAATACCCTCCTCATCGGCCTCCCCACCAAACTCATCAACAGACTGCAAATCATTCAGAACTCGGCCGCTCGGATCACCACCTGCACCAAATCATCTGACCACATTACCCCTGTTCTCATCCAGCTTCACTGGCTCCCTGTACAATACCGCATCTAAGGATAGACCGATACATCAGCCGGCCGATATATCGGGCCGATATTTGAGTTTTTTACTTGTATCGTCATCAGCTGATACGCGCGTGGGTTCGCGGATTTATTTTTCCCTGGCATGATTTACAGACAGGCATCCACGGGCAGCTCTGTGTTGCCGGAAGACCCTGCAGCGCACATGCAGTGAATCCTACTGTGTACAGTAGTTGTTGTTTTATTTATGCTTCAGCTTAAATATTTGTTTATTTTATAAAGACATTACTGGAAGATTTAAGAGCACTGAACTCTTTTTTTTATTTGAATGTACAATAATAATAATAATAATAATAATAATAATATTCTACCTGTTCTACCTCAACTTTCCATCTTGTTTTAGTATTTTTTACTGTTCAATAAATGTTTCTTATTTTAAACTTGAGACCTGTAATATTTGTTATCATTGTCATTTTTTTTTAATGTAAATTGAGGGAGCAAAAGCAGTATCGGCCCCAAATATCAGCTCAAGAAAATCGGCAGTCCATAATCAGTCATCGGCTAAGGGTGATGGAAAAAAATCGGTAACGGCATCGGCCCTAAAAAATCCATATCGGTCTATCCCTAACCGCATCCACTACAAAAACCTTCTCCTCACCTACAAAGCTCTCCACAACCTAGCCCCCACTTACCTCTGTGACCTCCTTCAGGAATACACCCCCTCCCGCACCATCCACTCAACCTCTGCTGGTCTCCTCACCATTCCCACCTCACGCCTCAGTACCATGGGTGCCCGAGCCTTCAGCTGCTCGGCACCCAGACTCTGGAACTCCCTCCCCCCACACATAAGACAGTCAGACTCCATCACATCATTCAAATCCCAACTCAAAACCCACCTGTTCAAACTGGCATATTCACTCTAACTGGACACTGTGCACTACACTTGTTTTTATGTTGATGTTTTGTTTTAACAATGTCTTTTATCCTCTGTGCTCTGTAAGGCCACCTTGGGTGACGTGAAAGGCGCCTCCAAGTAAAATGTATTATTATTATTTTTATTATTATTATTATTATAAAATTATCATCACAAGGTGCATGCCTTACAGAGGTTTCAAAGTAAAGATATCTCTACCACTGCTTTTTCCATTTTGACAACTTTACTAAATCTGTCTCTTGTAAGCCCCACAGCTTTATGGAAGTGCAATTTTCACAAAGTGAGTTTCAATATTTAAATTTGATAACTTTTTTTATTCCTAAATCAGAAGAAAACAGGGGCAGTTATGCTTGAGACTCCTCTTTTTTTCCTTTCCGTTTAACTTGTATTATTGTGTATTTGCCCCTGTTCGCTCCCTATTTGCCACCGTCTCTCTGTATTGCAGACCCTTATGACAACAAACCAGACCAGCTGCTGTTTTTCACTCACCTCTGCTCCTCACTGTGCAGGTGCCCTGACCAACCAGTGGATGTCGCTGCTGCAGCGTCAAGGACCACAACCTTTGCTGTCCTCCAGCCCATGAACAAGGGAGTATGGGCAATAAGGCTACTAAGAATCAAACTCAAGATGGGCATGCATTCCCTGCATCCAACTCTCATCTTTTAAAGATCTCTGACTACTTTTTCCTGTCAGTTTGTTCTCTTTGAAGCTGGAAACATACACTCACCCAGTATTTCCTGCAGTTTTTGTATCTCTGGAAATAGGCTGAACACATGCTCTTATCATAGTTGGAGGCATCCAAACACTTCTGGGAGGCATCACTCTCCTGAAAAAGAGAAGAAATTCAAACAAGGAAACAGGATTAGAAACTCAGAGACACTGTCACATTCCAGCAGCAGTCCCATGTTTTGGCACAGAGTTGCAAAGCTTACATCGATGCATGGGTTCACGTCCTGATTCCGAACTTTTCGTGCATTTTTATCCATTCGGATCTGTGTACAAATGGACAGTATAAACAGGTTCAGTTTTTGCACATTGTGATGGTGTGTACTTATTACAAGTCACTCATCACATGTAACTGTGATGAATGAGTTAAACATACTGTGTAATTACACTCTTTTCATTATTTATATCTGAATAAAATCAGCAGATACCTTGTGATGAAGTCAACTTTCAAATATGGAAAAAAATAAAACTGAGGCTATAGAAAGTGTTACTGATCATTCGAAAAACTGAAACCAATGCATGAAAACTGTCAGCTGATGCACCACTACATGAATATAAAGACAAATGATTTTATCTCTTTGTTGTTCACGGAAGGGGATTATATGGAGAACTAACCACTTTGTTATTTTAATTACAAAAACTTAATTGATCCCCAGAGAAACACTGAGATAATAAATCGGGATTATTGTGGGATCAGATGGATTTACAATAAAAATACAGCTAGCCTATAAATAATAAAACAGAGATTTTTCAATGGAACATAGTTTGCTTAGCAGTAAAAATTAAAAGAAATGAGGGACCTCCTAGTGGCATTTCCCATGTCTTCCCTTATTTCATGTTATCTCCCTACTGTAATTCCTCTGATGACATCATAAAATGCCCAAAGATACTTTAAAATTTAAATGAGGTCTGTCTTGCAGTTGTATGCCACAGTGAAACTGACAAGTTTCAGTTACGGTTTATTAGCGTCTGTCCAGACTCATGTGTGGCCATGGACAGTTGACAATGCTTCAAATATGGATGCTGCTGCAAAGAAGCAACATATTCTAAAACACTGACGCTTCAAACACATCTTCAACCTGGCAGCACAGATCTATACCATCACCACAGATTCAAGATTAGGGTCATTAATTCGGTATCTGACCAAATGTCTCCCCTTTTCTTCCCGAGTTATCATGTTCTGCAAAATAAGTGTTTTTGCAGAACATTATGATGTCACAGTAAAGCTCAACTTTGACCTTTTGGTTATAAAATATCATCACTTCATCATTTTTCCTATTAGACTTTTGTTTGAACTTCTGTCATTATCACCATATGAATTATTAAGCTGTGGCCAAAAAATTTGTTTTTTGAAGTCACAGTGACCTTTGACCTCCAAATTCTAATCAGTTTATTGTTGCGTCCAAGTGGATGTTTGTGCCAAATTTGAAGAATTTCCCTCAAGGTGTCTTGAGGTATCACGTTCACGAGAATGGGATGGATGGACGTATGGAGAAACATATGGACAAACGGGCAACCCAAAACCAAAATGCCTCCAGCTGCAGCTATCACCAGCGCCAAGGCATAAAAATGAAGCCAAGTTATCTAATCTTTTTCTGATGGCAATGAAAAAACACAGGTAAAGTATTACACTGACTAATTATCTTTTAATTTATTGATAACTTCATTTTTATTTAAATAAAATGACAAATATAATGGCAAATCCCTATCCTCAGTTCTCAGAGCCCAGAAATGACATCTTTAAACCTTCAAACCCAAAGTATTTAGGCAAAGTTTTTCATCCATAACCATATGAAAGGGAGAAAAGCAACTATGTCCTATTTCTGAAGCTGTAATCCGCAAATGGTTGGTGTTCTGCTACTTCTCATAATATTCCCTTCAAATGTTCTTAAAGTTAAGAGACACAAAACACATTCCATTCCACAGTTTGTTAACGCAATTTTCTGTTTCTGCATGTTCACTTGCACATTACTGAAGCTGTATGATGATGTGCATGAATAATGATTACATATATCGTCTGAATCACTGATCGAAATAATTAAAATCCAAGATACCATATTTTTTCTATGGTGCACAATTTAATTAAATGGAAATATTATAGATGTGTTGTGAATTGTTGTACACGTCTCCCAAAACTTTAACCTGTCTCCATTTATTTGCACAAGTTTGTAATGATGGAACCACCAAATAATCTCTCATTACTTTTTCTACTTACTAATTAGAATAACTAGAAGTTTCAGGACTAGTTTACTTCAATCAATCAATCAATCAATTTTATTTATAAAGCCCAATATCACAAATCACAATTTGCCTCACAGGGCTTTACAGCATACGACATCCCTCTGTCCTTATGACCCTCGCAGCGGATAAGGAAAAACTCCCCAAAAAAACACCCCTTTAACGGGGGAAAAAAAACGGTAGAAACCTCAGGAAGAGCAACTGAGGAGGGATCCCTCTTCCAGGACGGACAAACGTGCAATAGATGTTGTACAGAACAGATCAGCATAATAAATTAACAGTAATCCACATGACACAATGAGACAGAGAGAGAGAGAGAGAGAGAG